GAACATCCCCCGGGAACGGGACCGAACATCCCCCGGGAACGGGACCGCGCATCCCCCGGGAACGGGACCGAACATCCCCCGGGAACGGGACCGCACATCCCCCGGGAACGGGACCGCACATCCCCCGGGAACGGGACCAAACATCCCCCGGGAACGGGACCGCACATCCCCCGGGAACGGGACCGAACATCCCCCGGGAACGGGACCGCGCATCCCCCGGGAACGGGACCAGACATCCCCCGGGAACACACGGCCCTGGGACCGAACATCCCCCGGGAACGGGGCTGCACATCCCCCAGGACTGGGACCGCACATCCCCCGGGAACGGGACCGAACATCCCCCGGGAACGGGACCGAACATCCCCCGGGAACGGGACCGCACATCCCCCGGGAACGGGACCGCACAACCCCCGGGAACGGGACCGCACAACCCCCGGGAACGGGACCGCACATCCCTCGGGAACGGGACCGCACATCCCTGGTCCCACAGGCTGCGCCGGCACGGACACGGGACCTGCATCAGCGAAGCTAAAGCTGCAAAGGCAGCGGCGATTTCCAGGGCATGGAAAGCAGAGGGAAACCACAGCAGCCCACATCGGTCTGTGGGCAGGGGGGAGAACAATCCCCTCACCACCCACCTGAACAGGTCTCCAAACTGGCTCCTCAGGTGGCTGCAGGACACGCACAGGTCGTACAGGAAAGCTAAAATGCACCGTTCTGGGGAGGAACACTCAGAGGGGTTCACGACGTGCTTTACTACCCCACACAACCTGCAAAGGCAAAAGCATCCCCAGTTTGTTCCAACAGCCCTGACAGCTGTGTCACACACTGTCACAGATCAGACAAACCCACCGTCAGCTGGGACAGGACAGACCTTCACCTGCAGCCCGACGGGGCTCGTGTGACATTTGGTGTCACCCGGGGCAGAGGCACTCGTAGAGCCCAGGGCAGAGCGGGGCAGATGGGCAGGAAATCAGGAGGCACAACCCCCCTTGTCCAAGGCTACGAGGGCTGGGGATCCCCCATCCCCTGGCAGGGGGGTGCAGGCTGCAGAGCTGAGCCCTCCACCCCGCTCACCTGAGCTCACTGCAACACCCGCTCCAACCGCCCGAATCAAAACGCTTTCCTTGCTTAAGAGAGAACAAAACCCCTCTTTTAAAGGCGTGTGTGCCACCGAGCCCTCGAAGCCCTGCGGTGTGCTGGGCGCTGAGCAGGAGGCAGGCGTGGGGCAGCAGCACGGCCACGATGCTCACACACACACGATGCTCTCACACACAGTCCCGGCGTGCAGCTCCCGGCCAGGCTGGACGACTTCAGCAGCAGCTCCGCCTCCACCGCGCTCAGCTCGGTCAGCAGCTGAGAACACAGGCAAGAGCGACAAACTGAAGGTGATTTCCCAGTTAAACACGTAAAACGGGAGCAAAAAAAAAATTAAGGAAAAACTGTGAGGTGAACAAAAATGCAGTTCTTTACTCGCCACAGAACAAGGGGAAGAGGGAGCAAAATAAATGCTTGAAGTTTAAAAAACATCCCTCAGAAGAGCTCTTTGGAAATCCACGGCGTTTCAGGCACCCCGATGCATTACTGGGTAACACAATGGTTTAATCCGAAACAGCAAAGCCCATCCTAAAATCCTTTCTTCTAAATGAATCCAGAATTTTGTTAATTTTGAAAGATTTAAAAATAAAATGCATCTATTGGTTCTCCACAACCATCACAGCACGGCAGAAGGAGAAGCATCCAGTGCTCTGTTTGAGAGGGAGGAAACTGGAACAGCCACAGGCACACAGAGGGAATTTGCAGCCCAGCTCTTGGGGGTTTCCTGGCTTCCCAGAACATGTCCCACAGCTTTGTCCTCCCAGGACCTCACCAGCTGAACTCTGCTCACCTGCACTGCAAAGTCCATGAGCCCGTTGATGTTCAGCGCTGGTCCATAAGGTCGAAGATGAGCTGGACGTGGTGAGCCAAGGGCAGGTGGGACGAGGTTCCCGAGGCAAAGCTGGTGATCTGCTCGAGGACGTTGCTGGAGATCTGGGAAAGGGAACGCTGGAGGTCAGAGGTGACACCAGCACTCCCAAAATGCTGCTGTGCCAGGGGCAGCAGAGAGTGCCAGCACTGTACAGGTAAGAGTGCTCACACACCAGGCACAGGCACCCCTGTCACCCCCTGTCCCTGAGCCAGGCACAGAGCCCTTCCCTTCCAGACCTCACAGCACACAAAAGGTTGTTCTGCTGCTTCACAGCTGGGTCTCAAACTGTTCCCAACAGCTGCAGCACTGATTTCTGCTCTGGAGGCAGTTTGCTTCAAAGGAGCAGAAAAATCATTTTTCTTTGCATCTTACTGCACTGTGATTTATTTCAATTGATTGAAATATTCAATTGGTTTTCAGTTCATTAATTACACATAAACCAAACTTGTAATAAATTTATTCAAAAGACCAGCCCAAAAGATGTCTTATAAATTGTGTCAAACATTCACCTCTTTTATTTGTTTCACATGTTAGCCTCTGGTATTAAAACATACTTAAAACCAGTAACACATACAAAATGATGAAACTCTGTGCTGCCACACTTGCACACTTATGAGTCCTGACACAAAGCAGGAAAACCAGGCTTGTCCTTCAGAACAAATTATCATATCATCATAGAATGATTTGGGTTCAAAGGGACTGTAAAGCTCAACTCATTCCACCTCTGCCTCGGGCAGGGACACCTTCCACTAGACCAGGTTATTTTGTATACATACAAAACACTCATAAAAAGCAGGATTTCCTTCCCATTTGACATCCCTGCAGCAGAGCTAAAAGGCCACAATTTGACACAAGGGAGGTACCTGGGATGTCACCTGATGTTGATCGAAATAGGACAGCTGCTGCAGTTTGGTTAACACAGTCTCCAGGCTTGGAAATGCCTCTGCTTTGGTCTTCCAGGCTTTCTGCCCTTCGTCCCCCACTGGACAGATATAAAAGGTTACTTCAGTCATTTTATATTTAATGGAGCCCTAGCAGTTTTCCATTGCTACTGATTTAAAAGACAATAAAAACCTTAATAAGTTTTACCCTTGACTATACAAATCCCATTAGCCCCAGTTTTCCATTATAATGATACACAACAGCACAAAACAGAGTCAAAGCTGCCACGGGGTTATCCCAGTGCCCAGAGGTGACACCCCAGAGAAGCTGAACACAACCACACTCTGTTACCAGGAGGGTGAGACCATGGATCACTCACATTCCAGGCTTTAGCCCAACACAAGTGTTTGCAGCCAATTGTTACAATGGAAAACAGGGATTTCTAGAAGCAGCAGCCCTTGGTCATCCCAAAGCACTGTGGGGCCACGGGGCTCTGCTCAGCACCTCCCCAGGGACTGCCAAGGGGAGGAAAAAGCCAAATTATGGGATAACGTGCATGTGTCCAGACAATGGTCACTACAGGTGATTGAACAGCAGCCTCAGAGCATTTACCACCCATTTCTGTGGTGCTCTTCTTGTTCAGGATCTTGAGGATGTCTTTGGTGATCTTCTTCAGCCGCTGCCTCGCTTCCTCCCGCTCCTTCCCCACAGCACAGAGGAGAATCATGCGCTGGTTACACTCGTGGCTGGAGGATTCATCCTGGAAAGAGCAAGTGAAGTCTCTTTGCCTGTCCCTGCCATCACCTGCATCCCTGCCACCATCACCTGCATCCCTGCCACCATC